GCTGAAGGTATTAACTAGTGAGGATTAAGGTGGGACTTGCCTTTTGGGCAGGGTATTCCAAATAGGGTTTTTTGCATGTTTCTCAAGACCTGTGTTTATTCGGGTCTTAGACACAGGCTGTTGGGTTGGATGGATCATGGGTCTGATCTGGGTTGGCAGCTCATGTGGCAGTGCATTTTTATTTCAGGGCTTCGTGGGACTGAATTCTGGGCTTCTCTGCCGGAAGGAAGTCTTAGCGTTTGCTTATAGATAGTTTGCCTCACTTGTGACCCGTTTGCCTCCTTTCCCCAGTGATGAATGTTTATGATTGTCACGTATCCATAGACAAGTGATTCAGTGCCCTGTTTGCACAGGCTGTTGTATTATCGAATGATTCAGATATTATCCTATTATAGCTGGAGCCTCTTTGGTTTCGCTGACCAGTCAGCCTCCGGTTAATTCTTGCTGTATGTACTTGCCATAGATTCAGTAGAACAAGCTTCCCATGCCTCAGCACAGTTCCCTCTGAAGCTGTATTTTCCTGTCGCAGCACTGGATACTGCTCTGTGTGTGTGTGTGTGTGTGTGTGTGTGTGTGTGTGTGTGTGTGTGTGTGTGTGTGTGTGTGTGTGTAACATTTTACCAAACTTTGAAAATGACAGAAGGCAAAATTCTGGGCTCTATGGGAGTGTGGTGCCTTGTTCATCATTATAGTTCTTGCATCAGAGCGTCATGAACTGTTTTGCCCTCTTTTTCATAGTCTCCCATTGCCTTTTTAGGTCTACTTATTTGACCTGACTTACAAGCAACGGCCATACACGTTTCTCCTGCCAAAGAAGTGCCATACTTCAGTGGGTAAGTGTGAGTCTGCAAGGGAAGGGAGAGCCAGGCATAGCCAAGTTATACACTCTGACACCTTCCAGCATGAAATCTTTTCTGGGCTGGAACCGGAAAACTGAATTGGGGCAGGGAGTAGCTCGGCTATTTCTGCAGTGCGACTCGTACATTTTGCTCCAAAAGCCATTCACAGAGCAAGTATGCAGACGTAACTGAAATGCCAAGAAATGTGGGTGAGGGGTGAAGGACTGTCTTAAAACTGTGCCTAAGAATAAGGTTGGCAGGTCTATCCTCTTCCGCTGCTGGAAATCCACTAGTCTTTAGCACTGTGAAGGCCTTGGGGCTGTACTCTCACTTTATGGCAATACCTTCTGTTGGGCTGGGCCTCTAAGAGTGCATTTGGATTTTCTTTTAATCCTAGGTGACAGAGTGGGTCCCAAGCGATTGGTGAATCAAAGAGCCCTGTTCTCTTTTCTCTTCCCTTCACAAAAGTACCTTAATCAGCTGAATTATAGTACCTGGAGAGTCCACAGCTTCTATGGCAGGACATGGAGGGGAGATGGTCTCAATCCTTAACTTCCTCCCGCCCACTGCTGTAGTTGCAGCAAAATGACGGGGACAGATTCTGGGCAGAGGCTGCACTGTTTCAGGCTGTCCGGCAGAGGGCACATGTACACTTACATCGCACCATTAGTGGGTGTCTCCACACCAAATCTTTCGGCAGCTCCAGGGAGGATGTAGAGCCCTCCCAACCCTCTCACCTGCCTGGCATGTCCTGGGTGGCTGCTTATCTGTTATATTCAGTTCACTCTTCTTTGTTAACCATTTGGTTTCTGCTCCTGTGTGCAACTGAAATACTTGGAAGCTGGCTTGAGAACAAAAAAAAAAGACAATTGGAAGCCAGTTCATGCTATTTTCAACCCAAGCAAGTCTTCTGGATAAGCTAATGAAGAAGGTGTGCAGAGAGGAGTGTGGGACTGGGAGCCGTGAGTTCCTGGGTTCTAGCCCTGCTTTAGACGCAGTCTGTCTTTTGGTCCGTCACATCCTCCCTGAGTTTCCCAACCTCTAGTATGGACATAACAGTACTCGCCCCTCATTTGTGTTCTGGGCACAGTTTGTAGATATGAAAATGAGAAGCTTTGTAGAAGGGGCAAGCGTTATGGGTGCTATTGGCCTTCAAAGGATTAATGGAGATAAGGGCTTTTTATCTTGCTTATTCAAGAGGAACTAAGAGGAAAGATCCCTTGCTTGCAATGCTGATTAAGCTCCAAACACCTTGCTTCTCCTTCTTGCTCAGCCCCTACCTTCATCAGGTCCATGATATTTTTCTCAGTTGTTTTCCAGGCACCTATAAAACCTTAGAGGATCTAAAGGTTATAGCTTGAAAAGCCACTGTTCTGGCTGAAACAGCAGTCTTTTAAAACATCAGTGGTCTAGTACTCAAAGGCAGATATGGTAGATTGTTGTTTATGCCCAGGTCCAGCTTGTTGAAGGTGGCTTCCATATGAGCTTCATCTTGTCCTCTATTTTATGTGAGGAGACAGCTTTAAGTGCATCCAACTTTTTTCCTTTCAAGTTCTGGTGTGAGGGAACTTGTAGCGCTTACATACCTGGTATCTGAGCTATTCCTCCCTAATGTATGTGCTTCGAGGTGGAAAGACTTTAAAGAGAAGTCCGTGGAATTGTAGCTGCTTACCTCTGGTCTGCATCTGGATTGATGGGGAGATCTGTCTGGCCTGTCACCTGGTTTCCCTCTTAACTTCGGTGTGTGTGTGTGTTGTTTGCACCCTTTCAGAAGTGCAGAATGGCAAAACATCAACCAACGGAGTGTCAAACGGCATCCATCTCCACAGCAATGGGTTCCGGCTGTCTGAGGGACGAGCCCATGTCAGGTAAGTGGATATACTTGTCTGCATGAGAGCTCTGTGACCTGTCTGTCCTCCTGTTTAAATCTGGAGCTGCTGTGTCGAATGTGATTCCATTTTACTCGCTCATTAGTGATTGCTCCGGGTATTTCACTTGGGGGTTTGCTCATCTGCTAGTTGTTAAGGGTCTTCAGGAGCCTGATGGGGGAGATCCTGTTGGTAGAGATCTTCTTACATGTGGGGATTCTTTGCTGGTAACATTGATACCTGGCCTTAAGCCTAGACACTGAACTCCTTTGCTTATCCACAGCTGGTCTCTGCTCCTTGACCTGAAGAGGGTGGCTTGTGCTTGGTGAAAGATTGTCGCTGGGTCCCCTTGCTCCTCTGTTGGCAAAAGGGCTTGGTTGTAACCTGGGTACCTATGTGCTGCATGCTTGAACTAATGCCCCCAGAATAGCTGCATGCACTCCTCTGCAGCCACTGGTTGGTAATGGCATTTGATTCAGTACTGTCCTGGGGATGAATACAAAGCTTTCTTGTTCCCAGCTATCCGCTCTGCTTCCCTCCTTCCTACATTGATTTTTAAGGACTACCTGGAATTAGAGAAGCGGAGGCAAACCTGAAGTTTAACACCTTCATCTGTGCCTTTTAAAATGCTAGTTTATCAGATGTCTTTGACATATCAAAAATTATGTGAATGAGCTTTGTGGACATCTCAAAGAGAGCTCTCGCATACCTGAATGCAAATTTAAACCAATAACACTGTCTACACTACTCACTGCCACAAGATACTAGATCCAAAGGGCGTTAGCAGGACTCAAAGGATTTAGTGGATCCATACAGATAATTAAGGCACTCACTGTTAAATGAGTATTAGAAATCATCTTTGAGTTCCATGGCATAAAGTTGATGGGCTTATAAAGAACATCCCCTAAGGGCAAGTTACCCAATTTATAAGAGCTGTTTGTACCTTCATGTGGCGCATCTGGTAAAAATCAATACCAGAAACAGGAGAATATGGACCCTGGATGTGATCTGGAGTGTCAGGTTTTCAGTAGTCTGGTCTGGTTAAATATTTGCTTCTGATTTGGTTAAATTTCCCCCACACCCCCCAGAAGATCCTGACCTCACTCTTCCTTATGTCTGCAGCCCTCAGGTGGAGCTGCCTCCATATCTGGAAAGGATTAAGCAGCAAGCAAATGAGGCCTTTGCCTGCCAGCAGTGGACTCAAGCCATCCAGCTGTACAGCAAAGCTGTTCAGAAGGCACCCAACAATGCCATGCTGTATGGGAACAGAGCTGCAGCCTACATGAAGCGCAAGTGGTAAGTGAGCTGGACCTTTCTGCAGAAGACTCTGGAGCTGTGCACCAAAGGGCTTGGTGTACTAAGCAGTGCTGAGGCCTAAGTTCCAGGCTCCAGAAAGAGAGGTATAACCTACATATATTGTCCTGATCTTGGTGCCCTCTCTTGAACATTCACGGTGCAGAGAGGTTGTGCCTGGTGTGTGAAATCGGTAGAAGAGCCATGAAACTGAGTACTCTGCACCTGTGCACATATTCAAAGCGTGGTACCAACAGTCTAGGCTCTGGCTCTTCTGCTCAAGAGGGTTAAGATATTTCTTGTGTCATTCACTTAATCTTTGCATCTGATTTTTTTTTTAAACCTGCAAGGGAGACAGGGTGGCTTTGCCTGGTGTTTTAAGGGTAGTTTTGTCAGGAATGTCTGACACGCTCCAGAGCCCCTCAGTTCTCTTTGCCAGACTCAAGGGTCTAACAGGTTGTCACTGAGAACAGGAAGAATTGCCACATTATGGGATCAGGACTTGTAGGGAATATAAAATTGCGGTGGTTCTGTGATCCCTTGTTGGCTGGTTGTTTTGATCCCTGGACAGTGAAACATGCTGCTACTTACTTGGCCACACAGGGGTACTCTTGAGCTACTGTGTGCGGGGAATGGAAGCTGTGTTCTGCTCTAGGGCCTTGGTCTAAAGTCCTGCTGCTTTGAGGAGGGGGCTGCTGTTGGTGAGCCAGCAGTCTGCACCTGTAATGTTTGCTCTGTAGGATGTAGCCTGGTAGCTCAAACCATGGGGCTTCCTATATGCAATACCTTGACAGGGGAGTGAGCAGGGGGCCAGGCCTTCAGACAGGCGCTGGTCCTTCTGTACTGTGTCCGTCAATAAGCTGGGTTCACTTGATGGCTGGGATGGAAGTAGGCAAGTGGTATGGGTGCTAATGAGCAAGTGGGAAGCCTTTTCACGTGGGGAGACTGGGGAAAGTAGAAAATCCTCAGATAGCTCCAGGACTGGGAGTGGCTGGTGGATATGTAGGCCTTGTCCACTTCCAGGGTGTTTTCATCTTTTTGCAGGGATGGTGACCATTACGACGCTTTAAGAGACTGCTTGAAGGCTATCTCCCTGAACCCCTGCCACCTGAAGGCCCACTTCCGTCTCGCCCGCTGCCTTTTCGAACTGAAGTATGTGGCAGAAGCACTGGAGTGTCTGGATGACTTTAAAGGGAAGTTCCCGGAACAGGCGCATAGCAGCGCTTGTGATGCCCTTGACCGAGACATCAACGCAGCCCTCTTCTCTAAAAGCGATAACGGTGGGTGCCAGTGCTCAGCATGGTCCTTGTATTCTCTTTGGATGTTAATGTAACCCAAGGAAGCATGTCCCCCTGGAATTATAGCTCCCTAAAGTGAGGCTTGTTAGATGCTATCAGTTATTTGCCCAGAGAATGATTTGATCTTCTAGTTGAAAGCTGCCTTTGTAATTGATGCTTTCAAGGACCCGTCCTGCTATGTTGTTTTTTTTTTTAACTGACAGCTGATCTCTGAGAGATCTGGGTTCCCAAGTGTGTCATGCTTTGTCTTTTTTGCTGCAACTGCTCCTTAAGCGTGGAAAGTTCTCCTCCCTTTCTTTTTGAACTGGGGTGTGTGTACCCCTGGGTGGTATGCAACAGGCTTCTAGAGGATAGGTGAGAGAGGGAAAAATGGAAAGCAAAATGGAAATATGCATAGAGAAAAAAGGGGGAAAATGAAAGCCAACTGTAAAATATTAAGCTGTTGGAGGGGTTCTAGTGTGGCTGTAGTCTCATTTTGTCATTATCCACAATGTGGAATGATAGAGGCACAAAGCAGGGTAGCAGACTTGGGCTGCAAACCCCTTTAAAAAAAAAAAAAAGGTTCAGTTGCTAAGACTTCACCCTGTGGGACGGCAGTTTGCTAGTACCAGTACACCAGAAAATGCCTTCAAGGGAAGGCTTCCACCTCTTTATAGCAGCCTCCCCAGAGACTAGGGAACAGTAAGTGCTCCAGTTGTGATATCATATCTACTGTGGGAGCCATTGAGCTGAAAGGTAGCCATTCTCTCGTTTGTGGGTTGCACTGGAGCTCTAGGGTTGGCCCTGCTGGAAGGGATTTGAGGTAGGTTGGTGGAAGGGTATAGAGAAAGGCACATGGTAAGCCCTGTTCCATGTGTAAACCGCCAGCTAGAACTGGCAGCTGAGTAGTCTCTTGCATGCACAACTCTTTCTCTCCAAAGCATGATGTGTAAAGAGGGGAAATCTTTCTTTCTCTTCGCTAATCTTCTAGCTGAAGACAAGAAAGGGAGCGGCCCAATCCGGCTGCGAGCAACTGGCCGCAAAGATTCCATTTCGGAAGATGAGATGGTGCTGAGGGAGCGCAGCTACGACTATAAATACCGGTACTGCGGCCACTGCAACACCACTACGGATATCAAAGAGGCCAACTTCTTTGGCAGGTATGTTGCCATTGCACATCTGGACAGTATGCCAGAGCTTTGCCATTGACTGGATGTGTCGTGATGTGCAGCCTCTCTCTGCCTGCAGGGTTATGAGAGGAAACCCAACTGCAAACCAGAAGCATTAGTGAAGTGACCTCTGCTGTCATTACAACTAGAAGCCACCTCTATGTTTCTCTAGATTCACAGATTAAATAGCACATAAGCATAGAGATTGTTTTCTTCTTCTGGGAACAATCTTTTCAGTATGCCTGTTTGTATGGGTTAGAAAGAGGGGGAAACAAGGCAGAAAACCACCTCTTTGTCCATATCTAGAAATAGCCAGCTGTGAGGCTGGAGGTGCATAGGTTTCTGATGTTCATAATTCAGTAGTGAGGTATAAGATACTGGCAGGCCCCTTAAATGATCAGTGAAACCCCAGCTGGATTTTAGAGGTCTGTCACAAGCCAACTTTCTGAGCTACAGGTTTGTATGCGCATGAGGATAAGTTAGCAAAGTGCTGGCTTTCCTACTGAGGGACAGCCAGCTCCCATCCTTATTCTGTGCTCTGTAGCAAAGGATCCTTCCAGCCCATACAACTTCCATGACCCTTAGTGCTTTGGGTGCGGTTTAATTGTCCAGAACGCTGCCCCACACCTTTCGGCAAAGGTGTGACTGCTAGCTTCTTCACCTCTGCTCTGCTCTCTGTGCATCTGTGTTCTCCACCCTAGCAATGCGCAGTACATCGTCAGTGGCTCGGACGATGGCTCCTTCTTCATCTGGGAGAAAGACACTACCAACCTTGTGCGAGTGCTGCAAGGGGATGAGTCGATTGTGAACTGCCTGCAGCCTCACCCAAGCTACTGCTTCTTGGCAACCAGTGGCATCGATCCAGTCGTGCGGCTTTGGAATCCCAGGCCAGAGGTAAGAGCATTTGTAAAGAGAGAAGTACTCGCTAGTGGGCATGGGGACTCTTTGCCAGGTGATAGGTAGACTGCCTTTGCGCAACCAGACTGCAAAGACTGATTTACAGGGAGCAGGGAAAACCGGCTGTGTTGGAAGGAGACGCCTGGGTTTTACCACTCTGGGTTGATCACTCCTCTCCTGTTCGTGGAACGAGGGGATGCATATGGAACGCTTAGAGGAATGCTGGGCATCCCAAGTGAACCTGGGTAGCACAAGAGGGAAACTGTACCTGCACAGGACAGCATTTCTGACTGCCCGAGCACATGTTTGCAAATGCCATCCTGTGAGCTGCAGATGTGGCTGCGGTTAACCTCCCATCCCTATCTTGGTGAGGACTTTCACGCCTGAACTGTGCTTCTGAGTCGCTGTACAGTGCAGAGCTCTCCTGCATGCCAAAGCTGAGCAGAGATGGCTAGACTCTGAATTCCCCTGCAGGTGGCAGGAGCTGGGCCATCAAGCCATTACATCCACCTCCATCCTACATGCTGGAGAATGTCTGTTTATTCTAAATGCTGACCTCTCGGTGTGGCTGCCTGTGTGGTTTAGGTCTATGCTGCTGGGTTGGAATGGGGCCAGACCTGCTAGGTACCAGATACAGCCTGTGGCATTAAACAGGATTTGACTTGACTCTATTTTCACATCAGGGATCCTGAGCTCCAGAGCGCAGCAGTAGGAATAATACCCGCTGTCCTGGAGTATTTGTTAGCGTGAGTCAAAGGCTGTCTCATGGCACAGTCTTCCTCATGCAGTCTCCTTTCTCATTTGCAGAGCGAAACCCTCAATGGCCGTGTGGTGGAAGACATGGAAGGTGCCTCCCAGGCTAACCAGAGACGAATGAATGCAGATCCCTTGGAGGTGATGTTGCTGAACATGGGCTACCGGATCACAGGACTGACTAGTAGCGGGACTGGAGGCTCAGACGATGAAGACAGCTCGGAGGGGCAAGTCCAGTGCCGGCCCAGCTAAAACAGACCTGCCTCTCCTTCCTCTAATTGCTTTGTTGAACGGGAACCCCGTTTCCTTGGTTCTGAACTTTCTCTGATGAACGGCTGCACTGTTTCACACTATGCACAGAGTAGGACAAGCTGGCAGGGGCAGGAGTGGCTTTCTTGTTAAATTACCACCACCACCACCACCTCTCCCCGCTCCCCCCTGTCACACTACTGAGCAGCATGGCAAAGCAGTCTGGGTTCGCCTGTAGTGGAATTTAGTCCCTGTAAGGATGTTTTGAGTTGTCTGTGAGCAGTGTAAGCTGGTGACCTTCTCTGACGCTGCTGTATGGCTTGGCGGAAGGGGCATCGTCTCCGTTCGTGCATTTGCAGAGGGGATGTTAAACTGCTAAATAAAACGTAAACCTAGGGCAGGGATTACAGAATGATTTTACCGCAGCGATCTTGGTTTCTGATGCTTGGCTTAGCTGCTCTGCCGCCAGCTTGGCTCCTGGCCCTAGGTTCAGGGCTGGTGATCATAGAAAGTCCATCTGGCCCACCGAACACCTCGAGGGGGCTTTTCTCTGGCCACTGGCTCTAACATGGTTGCTGAAGGTGACTATATTGGTTAGGGTTTGGCTACCACCTGTCTGTCTTTTGGGCATCTCCTTTAGCTGATGCATAAATGGAGACACTGAATACATGCAGTTGAATGGAGGAGGAACCTCTTTCCCAGCACAAGTATTGATTTCCTCTGTGACTTGTGACCCCATGAAGAAAGATGGTGGTAAAAAAGGAGATGGGGCGTGAGGTTTTGAGGCTGGGATAACTGGCGTGACTGAAGCTACCAAGGGAAAGTGGCTGATAACGGCACTTCCATCTCTTCCACCCAAGCTGCTGCTAGCCCTGTTTTACCTTCCCCTCTCCTAGCCCCCTTCTTGCCCTACAATTGTGTGTGGCTGCCATGCACCCATCCCAGCTGGTATTTGAGCTTTTAGAGGCTGGCATTTTTAGTGCAGTTGACTGCTCTGGATCTCATCAGCTGAGGTGATCTTTCCTGATGGATGTGACCTCCCTCCTGTACAAGCAGTGGAGGAAGTCCTTGCAGTGGGTCAATGGTCCTCTCAGGAACTGCTCTTCTTTCTCCTTACCCATGCTGGCTTCAAAGCCAGGACCACAACTTTTTTTTTTTTTTTTTAAATGCAGCCCTGTACTTCCACTCTTCCCAAGTAACTTGCAGCCTGTTTTCTCCTCTCACACTTGCCAAGCATTAAATATATCAAGTAGATCTAACACAGCTGTGTTACAGCCCAAGTTGAGGAGTGTTTTTTTTTTTTTTTAAATGCAGCACTGTACTTCCACTCTTCCCAAGTAACTTGCAGCCTGTTTTCTCCTCTCACACTTGCCAAGCATTAAATATATCAAGTAGATCTAACACAGCTGTGTTACAGCCCAAGTTGAGGAGTGTTTTTTTTTTTTTTCTGACTATCAACTAAGACCAAAGAGCCTTTGGAGATCTTACTATCTTTCTGCACTGTCTTTTTCTTCCTGCCGAAGATTTAAACGTGCTGACACTGGTCTCCGGGGCACAGGGTGTGTGTATGTGTGCGTGTGCGTGGGCATGCTATATTAGGGCTGTTCTTCCACACGGTGGAGTCCCTGGTCTTCCCATACCTGCGTTGGAAGGACGAGTACCCACTCTTCCTTCTCTGGCTGCTCAGTGCTGCCAGGTGTTGATGGGAGAGTTGGCTTTGTGTTAGCTGATCAAAATGACTGGCTTCCCCTCAACTTTTGTACACGCCACTTTACCTGCTTTCCGTACAGCAAGGATGAGCCACAAAGGACCTAACGAGGTCCGTGTCCCATGGCCAGCATCCTTTCTAATATGGTGCAGCAGACCCCTGCCAAGCAGTGCTCCATCTTCCACCAGCTGCAGTTTGATGGAGGGGCTTGGTGGGAACATCTTGCCTCTCAAAGGCAGCCAGTCTCTGCTCCATTTTCTGTGGATGGGGGCCCAGGGCTAATGTGCTCCTGGTTCTTTGGCAATATGCCGGACAGCTGAGCAGAGGCTGGCTTCTGAGGTACTTTTACAGACCCTCAGCAGCAGATCTTTGTTTCTCAGGTCCAGCAAACTTGCCCCATGTCTTTTTTTTTTTTTTTCCCCCACCCGGACGACTTGCCTGGGTCAAGCCAGCCCTTGACCTCTCCCGTTCTAGCCTGTTTGAAGTTAACATCCTAGCAATGCAGTCCATGTTGCTCATGACTTAGCTGAGCCCATTCACTTGTGTCCAGGCTACTCCCCCAGCAGTGCGGCAGCAGTCCCAGGCACTCAATGTTCTTAAAACCCAGTGGTGGCAGGAAATGGTTTTCACTTGTGTGGGTTTCTTATTTTTATTTGAAGTGGCCTGTGTTTGTGTTTGGGGTTTTTTGTTTGCTGAAGGCTTCCTGGATGCATCTGTCTTTCTCCCTTCCCTCTCCCACTTTCTGCTAGGCAATGCCTTTTAAGCTTTGGGTTTGGGTTTTTGTTTTTTAACTCTCAAATAGGCTGAGATTGGAGGCTTTGAACAGAACAGAACCCCTGGCTCCTTGGGAGATGTCACTTCCCTTCGAGCTTATGCTGTGACAGCTATTTTTACTCTAGCAAGACAGAGCAGCTCTCCTACCTGCCAACTGCAGCACAAAGCTACGAGAGCAGTGGATTGCCTTTAAAAAAAAAAATGGCTGCTTTGTTTAAAAAGAGAAATATTAGTCGATTGAAGAGGGGAAGTCCCTCTGGCTCTTGCCCCTCCTTCCCGTCATTTTTTGGGGGCAGGTTGTCTGCTTTCATTGCTTGTTAATGAGGAACTCCTATTTATTGGTGAAGAAAAAACATGCTGGGGAAGAGATGTAGCTTTATTTACTTACCTCTGCTGTTTTCTTCTACCCCCTTCTCTGGAGGAGCCCCTTTTTTCGCTCTTTTTTTGGTTAACTCTTTCTAACCCAGGATATGCAGAGATGCCTCCTTTTATTTTTGTATTGTAGCAGTGGAGATCTCCTTGAGGAAACTCTGAGATTCTTTTGGATGTTGCAAAGACCATTGCTCCTAGCTTTCCAGTGTTAAAGATGATGGTGTCTCAAACTGCCCCTGCAATTGTAGAGGTAACACACAAGCCTTACTGTCCTTGTAAGAAGGAGCAGAATATTTCTGTTTCTCTGGTCCCTGGAAGAGAAAGGGTTAAGCAATTAAACAATTCTTTGTTTTAGTTCTCTTTTGTCATTTGTTCGGGGGACTGGTCAGGCCATGCCGGAGACCAACGCAAGAGGGTTTGCACATGGAGACGGGGATGGAAGGAGGGGGTCCAAAGGCTTGTCTTGGCGGTTGACTGCTGAAAACCAAGCTTCTTGGGGCGCTGCAGTTTGAGAGACGGGGGGCAGCTGGCTGTGCTGGAGAGCCTCTGGTGGCTTGTCCTGACTCGCTAAAAGGTTTGCATCTTTCTAAGCAGATGCATGATGCAGGTTTGGGAGAGGGGTGGATCTGTACCTCTCCCACATCTGGCAGGCTGCCTCTCCGTGAGCTCTGCCCGGTGTGCAGAACAGACCTGGCCTGCGCTTGGGCTAGATGGGCTCCCCAGGGTGCTTTGTGGAGCTAACGAGTGGCCTGCCGACGCAGTTGCCTTATGGAAGGTTTGGTGAGGCGTTTTGTACCCTGTGATCTGCATGGGAAGAGGCTCTCATGTTATGTGGTCACTTGAGCTCATGCTAAATCCAGGGAGGAGGTTGGGGGAGGCTGTACTATCGGGTACCAGGGAGCTGAGCGTCGCAGAAGCACCCTATTGTTTTCTCCCATGAAGGATGTGGATCTCTTCCTAGTGATCAAACAGTCCGTCCTTGGCCTGTTACCTCTTCTTGCATGGCCTCTTGCATCTGAAATAAGCAGCGCAGGGCACACCTTGTCTGGGGTTGTGGAGGTAGCCTTAGTGTCACTGCCTGCTGTCTTCCACAGGCCTTGCCAGCTAAAAGGTGTGCATCCAGTGCATTATATTGGGCACAGAGTTCAAAGTGGCAAATGCCCCACTCTGCAGGAGATTCAGATTTGCTCTCCCCTCAGTCCTTCCCCTGGGACAGGCCAGATGCTATCTCGCCAAACCACAGGCTCTAAATGAGTGGAGTTGGCCCACTGTGAAAAGGGAAACGCCAAGTTACCTGGAACGCTTTGGAGCCCGGTAGGACTCTGGGGGACGGCACCTAGTTACCCCTGCAGCTTTTAGCACGTCAGAGCTGCTTTGCAACCACCTCCACCTCTGCAACACGACCGAGAACGGACAGTGCAATTGCCAGCTTTGCGCACTGCCTGAAGCAAAGGCCTTTGCAGAGGTTTGGGATGTATTGATTTCCTGCTGGCTGCCCAAGCTGACGCTGCAAGCAGCCTGAAATGTCCCTGACAACCGCCTCGGCTTTGCTTGGACAAAGCAGCAATGGCTCAGTCGCCTACTGAACAGCAGCAGGGTTTCTGGTCCTTGGAGATGGAAGCAAGGCTGGTCCCCCCCGAACCAGTCTCTAGTGACAGGATGCCGTGGGTTGGAGGGGTCTTGTCCATTGATGAAGTATAAGGAGATGCAGGAATTTATGGGGGGGGGAGTCCTAGAAAGATGGTCTCTTATATGTGCTCTCACGTTCTGGAGATGGGTAGCTTCTTGTATATGCCGTGGTTTACAGGCTACGTGTGTTCTCTCGCCGGTTCGGTATTTCCAACCCTTCCCACGTTGCTGTGAACAGGACACGTTTCTTGCCAAATCTGGCACAAAGATCAGATCAGACATTTTCTTTAGTATTTTTATTTCTCATCTCAAGCGGGTTTGTGAGCGAATCCCGGACTTCTGGGTCTTTCCGAAGGAGGTAGCGGTATCTGACTGCCGTTGCCTTTTACCAGGCACTTGGGTTGTTTCTAGACCTCCTGCCTAGCGCGAAAGTGGTGCCGGGTGATCTGTCTCTTAATGAAGACACTCAGCTCTCACCCTGGTCTTTACTAAGCAGGTTCTGCTGGGCTCGGGTTTTCTGCCAGCAAACCTGAAAGGGCTGAACCTGTTGGAAACCTGCAGTTAGTCTCCACCTCCGGAGGGAAGCAACTAAAATGCATCTGTGGCTACATGCAAATGGGGGGAAAAAAACCACCCCCAAAACTTTCATTTAACCCCAAGCTAGGCCAGTTCATTAAACGCTGCTTTCCATAGAGTAGGAGAGAGCAAGGAGGAGGAAGCCAAATGTTTGTGAATTGACCCGAAGAGGAAAAGCATGTTTCCAAAATGGTCTCAAAGGTGTGTGTCCTTCTTGCTCTATTTTTTATTTTATTTTATCTTTTTCCTGCTATTAACCCTGCTCTGGGAGTGTGTCTTCTGAGGTGAACGTAACCTTGGCAAGAGCCTTGTGCCCTACAACAGTGACTCCTGAGCGTGCCAGGAGACGCGCTCTGCCACCTGTACTATTCTTAGTATGCTCCTTGCATCAGCTTTTGCAGTGAGATGCTGAACAAAGGGGAGATGGAGTAGGGTTGTAGAGCCAGGAGATGAAAATGTGAATACCTGAAGGGTAAAACTAGGCTTTCTGCAACTCCAGGCAAGAGAGGTTTGGGTTCCAAGAGGAGTCATTTACCCTAAAAGCTCCTCGGCTCTGGTGTCGGGGTCTTGTCGCCTGGGAGGAGGTAGAAGCTTTGTTGCATGGCAGGTTACTAGACTGGGTAGGGAGCAAGCCTACCCGGACACCGGCAGTGGATCCAAGCTGTCTCAACCTGCAAGGGATGGGAGGAAAAAGTAGTGGGAGTGCGGTATGGAGAGAACTGAACTGAAGCAGGGAAGTCAAGTGAGGAAATGGCTCTCCTGAAAGCCTCACTCCTAAATGCCCCCCCCACCCCAGGCTAATCTTCACTTAACCTTCCCAATGTCGCATGAAATGAGGTTCACGGGAGCCTGCGACGGTCTGGCAGAGGCAGGGCACTGCCCTTCTGTGGGCTTTCAGAGGGCGTCCATGGGAGGTGGTGCCTGTGGGTGGGAGAAGTGCCAGGACCCTGCATCTCCATCACGGGAGAGCTCCCGCAGCTCGGGCCCTTGGAGAAACCATTCGCTCTTCCCCTCTCTCTGCTAAATTTAGAAGCTGCTGTGTGGATTAGCCAGTCATTTGCAAGTGGCAGGCGGTGAGAAGGGGGAGGTGGCACTGAAATGGCATCCATAAAGCGAAGCCCTGAATGTTGAAGATGGGATGTGGGGCTGGCTTGGCTGCTTGTTTTAGGGGGGTTGTGTGTCCCTGCTTGATATC